CTTCGTGAAGCTATGCTCTTTCTCCTTTATGGCTAACACACAGATTCACCTCAGGTAAGCGCTTGTTGCTTGTTTAAATCGGTACTTCATCTCACACACTCCAGTTCCGCATCACTTCTCTCAACCAAACTCTCTCGGGTTGCTCATCTAAGGCCGCTCATTGTGAATGTACAAAGGCTGGACCGCTGACCAAGTATGAACGATACAATCTGGAGGTTTGTAAGATTTGGTGCCTCTCTCAACAAGAGCTTTCAGCAGAAGTGACGACTTACTACATTTATACATTTCTTGGACAACTTTCCCAGCTAATGATTTTTCTGCATTTGCTTTGGTTCAGATTTCGGATAGGTGGATGCTTCTCCATCTTTTCCAAATTTGAAAGCGGCCTGGAATACATTCGTTGCCATCTCAGTTCTTAGTTCCCCTACGAACTTCAAAGAAGGAAGAAGTACTTGCCTGCAACATTTTATCGACATGGTTTCCAATAAAGGACTGGCTATGATACGCCTGCCTCTGCACCTTAAATTGCTTGAGTGCGGAGTCTAACTGTGTTGTCAGAGGGTCCTCACTGACCTTGACAGATGCCTTTTTCCGCAGGCCTTCTGGTTTTTGCCTCGATCTGCGTAAATAATTTTATATTCATATATACATTTTAAAAATTCAAGTGGCGTTGTGGATACTAGTAATGGAAGATAATATGGAATAGTGTTTATCCTTTGTTCTTTATTTGGGTATATTCTATGTAATTTTACATACAGTCTTGCAGTTGTCCCGTCCGTACCCCCTTAGTGACCCATTATGAAAAAGACCTGTATCAAAGTGACCGAGACGTGTTGTGCAGAGATATTTTAGGATGATGAAGCCCAAAGTACGTACCTTTGAATTGCCAACATAAATTTTGAATTTTGACACGTACATAACATGTTAAGTACTATTGAAAAAAATACATTTTTGCTTGTCCTCCTACTTAAACAGCACAAATACAATACTAAATTTAGCATAAAAGTTTATCTTTATTTCATAATGCGTCTAAAATTAATGTGAGAACTCTTTCGAAATCCTAAAGGTCGATTCTACTGAGACAGATTCCTCATGTCGTGTGTATCCCACTTACACGTTGTCTGGTCACGAAATCCATTTGCGCCAAAGCATCCCTTGCTGTAACAAGATGTGGAGCGCGTCCTTTGATCCTGATTATCGTAAAATGTCGCTGTATGTTCGATAACGTGTATAGCAAGACAAATCGATAACGTAAGTAACACGGTAACGTAACCTAACATTTTGGGACATGTCCATGAAAAAAATATTAATAGTGAGCCACCAGGATTAAAACAATGTAGGTAAGTAGGTATCTCGGCATGCCCTTTCTACACACAAGGCAAGGGCTGGTCATTTCATTTACATCCTGTAGTAAGCACGGTAACGTAACGTAACATTAAAAAGTGGCCGTTGGCCATACCCTCACGAGATGCTGTAATATTTCTTGTGTGAACGGGCTGTCTACTCTTCCACGTCTTTAATGCTGTACAATACATGTGAGGCTACAAAATAAGATAAAACGTTGGTGGAAACTGTAGTTTTATCTGTGACTCATGCCTGTGTCAGTAACGTAAGTAACCTAAAAAAAAAATTGCGACAGTTTTCAAGTGCGACCGGATGTGATATAAGCAGAAGATGAACAAGCTCCTCCCCCTGCTTTATAATGGTCTCATTAATGGGTAGAATTGACCATCGGAAGTCAAGTCAGGGAACACATTTTTAAGAAATAAATGTAATGGTTAAGTACTTTTTAAGATTTGCGACAAGTGTTTTTTTTTTACTGTCTCCATACAAAACGCTTCCATTTAAGATCAGAAAATGGTCAGCTGTCGCGGTAAAAAAAATATCACACAATATTTCTTGGGTTCATAAATTAGGTATAACTATCAAATAAGAAGTTATCTTGTAATTTAACTTTCGGACAGCCCGGACTTTCTTGCGACAGCGATTGCACACGTTAACTAAGAATGGGTGTTCAGTGTATGTCAAGACATGATGACTTGGCAAGTTTGTACAATCAATTACCACATTTCTTGATTCATTTTGCCTCTCCTTCTTCTGATACCGTAGTTGGAGGGACAGGACATTGAAACAACGTTCCTGGTCCTGCAGTATCGCCCACGCCTCCATCTCTTCTACCCCCTCATTCAACTGCATTGCCTCCTCTATCGAATCCACATACCCTGCTAGGGTGTGGGGATCCGGGTGTAGCAGAACATCTGCCCTGTCGACCTCAGGGTCGGCTAGGGTGACTTTGGAAATGTGGGTGGCCATGATGACATCTACACGGAAATCATTCTCTAACCTGCGGAAAAGCTTGTGGAAGATGCCAAGCGAGATATGAATTGCTGGTATGCATACCTAGGATAAAAAATCAACATCTTGTCAGTGTAGTGTACTTCATGTACCAAGACGTCTTATACCGTATATTTGTACTGCTTGTTACGTTAAGGTATACAGCCATACCAGATAATATTTAGGAAGATATTACACCGTACCTCAATTATTTATTTTGGGGTGTCTGAAGGAGTAAAATACCTGATCAATCTCTATTGTCAACATCTGCGGAGCTATGACGTTCATGTATTCCGGATGTCCTTCCGCATTCATCCTCTTGGAAGGAGGTGTAGTTTTAAGCTAGAGATGCAAGTGTGCACTTTGCAGGAGCTTGCTCCAGTTCACCTTTCTTCATGTCTGCTTCTCAAAAATCATCTTATTCCTACTTAAAAAAAATTAAATTTGGGTAAATAAATCAACATTTTTGGTTACGCATGTTGTGCTTAATTTACTGTATACATGTACGAGGTTCACTGTGCAATATACATGTACTTTTATGATGTTCACCTTTGTGATATCTTCTATTATAAAAATGTGTCAAACGTTAACGTTAACTGCCTTAATTAACAAGGTGAAATTGGTCAAGGTTAAAGGTAAACTTGTGTGAAAATGTGGACATGTTACATTGCATCAACAGCTAAACTTTACAGTTGCACATGGCAAATGTTATAACGAGATATATAATAATGGTTGACAATGTTAATGCATTTATCATGACAAGGTCAGCATTTTTCAAGGTCAAGGGGTGTCTTGAGTAAACATGCAATGTACACAGTAATCAATGTATTCAGTTTATTCAGTATTCAGTTTATGACAGGTAAACAACTTTTTGCCAAAAACAGGCTTACTTTACTTATCTACTTAACTTCTCCATCTCAACAAACTCATTCCTTAGTGGTGCTGGCTGCACAACTTGTCAACTTTACGTCTGTCCTCCACCATCCAGTATCTTCTTCCACTTATTGGCGTGACATCTACATTCGTCAACACAAACCTCTTCTCCACTGGTCTTATATCAGCCACATCTGGGAGTTGGTACATTCCTCCTGAAAAACCAATTCTTTTACTAAAAGAGACTTCAAATATATAAACTTGAATTTTTGTTGAAAATTTTAGGAGTAGTACATGTACACCATCATTACAATGATTCGTATTGATTTTTGTTTCTTATCACTGCGACTGCGAAAAAAAGAATCAGAATGACACATTCATGGGACTGAATTGTATATGATACATCAAGAAAATCAAGGGTACACATGTGGTATACATGTAAAGTACATGTGGTATACATGTAAAGTACATAAATACCTGCAACTAAGTGGAAGAAAGTGAGTGTCACAGTTTCTGCACCATCTTCTACGACTGAACCTGGGTACCAAGTGGGTCTTTAATGGAGGTCACTGTACCAAACAGTAACAAACTCGCCCGGTCGGAAGGAAACTGACTCCTGATGGTAGAGTAGAGACAAGAGTGTAACATTGCAGGTAAGTACTACAGTTTTTTTAAGCAACCAGAACCTGAGGGGCAATATGATATCCCAATCCGGTATCTGTAAGAAAAGGTGAAACAAAGCCCTCAACGGCGCCTGTATCTGAGGCTAGATCGTTAGGCCCAGAGTTCAGTGCTGCAGTTTTCCGTTGCTGTCCACTCTGCAGACTGCATCAAAGACGCGCCAGTTACGGATTCCTCACCTACAAGACCTCAGTCAACATTTATTTCATAAACTCCGGATAATGAGCCACCAAATGCTTTAACATGTGTGCGTTACGAACACTGATACCTCCCCAATACGGACCCTCGTATCACTGTTGACGTTATGGCAGCCCCCATACAGACTCTCTTGTGTTCCGTGACGTCACGAGGGTACAAGTTGGGAATTCCCCATGGTTCACCGCGGCACTTCCTGTTGCCATTTTTGCCAGGTGGTGCCTGTTACCATGGAAACAAAGGAGTTTTCAAACATGATATAGACCTGTGAAGGGAATGATCAAGATTTTAAGTCTATGGAGTTATTTGATAAAGGACTTTAGTTCTTGTGATTTGTGTTGTGTTGCAAAATTTTGTAGGCAGAATATTGTCGGAGACTATCCAACACCAGACTAATTACGCTAGGTAAAAAATTGTAAATAGGAAAAATTTTCCAGAGAAATTTGGCCACCATAGTGTTAGTTTGTCTACCCAGGAGAAAATTTTACCCTTACCGCGGGTTCACTACCCTGGTCATATATTCACCTTATTTTTGCCGAATTCTGCAATCCATAAAGCCTGGTGAAAGCTAGTGCCGAGGTATCTAGGTCGTATTCTGAATGTTTATCGAGTAAACTTAACAACAGAGATGTGATTATCACCAAGGGTACCTTTTTTGCTGGATTTAGACTTTGTCAATTCATTAAATACTCAAATCCTGGTTTGTAACTCCTTCCCATTGAGGTCATGAGGGTTAGACAACATGTAACAAGGTACAGGTTACATGGTTGAAGTCCTAACAAAATCATTACAGATTAGTTTGCTTTGTCAACGGTCTGGAGTGGTAGGTTATTACAATACCATACCAGTTTGTGTATCATTAACCAGAGTACAAATATGATGTAACACTAGTAATAAACTCTCTCCTGACGCCTCACCATTTCCTGGTGGCGACGAACCGAACAGGTAGGTCTATCTGTGCTCTCAGTATCATATCTCTTGTGTTATATCTTATCATTTACGTTGTTTAAGTAAAATTTGGCCAATCTGTCTAGTATTTGTCGTCTCCTATTTGAAATCTTGATTCTTAGTGTTTTTTAATAAATGTCTGTTAATTACAGATCTCACTATTCAGTAACAGACGAAAGGTAGTGGCTGCCTAAAAAATAAAACGTCCAAACGATTTTAAAATTTATCCAGTTGTTGCTTCAATATACTGTTATATCGTTACGTTGTGTATGGGAATGGGTATGTTTCTCTTTAAATCTAGCTATAGAACAGAGCAAACTGCTTTGTTAAAATACTTTTTGCAACAGTTGGTGAGTTGTGAAAATGTTAGCAAGTTGCTCTTGTAAAGTTGTATCCAGGAGCGCGCTTTATCTGGATCAACTTGTGGAAGGATTTTTTTTCCACTGTATGATTGTAAACTTCAGTGTTCTCAGCATCTGAGTTTGACCGTTTTGTGTTTGTGAATCTGCTTTTTCTAAGGTTCAAATAAGCCTATACAATTATGAATACGTCCCTAGCTGGTCTTGCCAAATTAGTCAGTACCGCATCTATGAGTACAGAAAAACCAAACTTAACAAACGCTCCACGATATACTCCTCTATACAGAGGAAATTTGCATACTTTATTAGTAAAACATTAACCCAGCTGGGCACGTAGGGCAACCCAATACCTGAGCTACACAGGAGAGCTGGAGTCTGGTTTTGTCCGCCCGGCTTTAAACAAATTGACACACGGCCCTGTTGACACACGGCCCTACGGTGTACGCCTGGGGGTTCCCCTGGCGGGTACCTGAGACTAAGTTGGATAAAAATAAGGCCGGAAAAGTTTGCGTCCCCATGCTAAGAAGCTTCTGCATTTATATCTATATATATATAGGCCTGTGTTTCGTACTTGTACCCAGTGTAACCCGTATAACTCCCCATCGGCGCAACACGCAAAGTTCTGTATCTGTATGGCCTGTATAACCACCCCTCGGTGTAACACACCAGCTTCTGTATCTGTATAGCCTGTATAACCGCCCTTCGGCGTAACACACCAGCTTCTGTATCTTTATGGCCTGTATAACCACCCCTCGGTGTAACACACCAGCTTCTGTATCTGTATAACCGCCCTTCGGCGTAACACACCAGCTTCTGTATCTTTATGGCCTGTATAACCACCCCTCGGTGTAACACACCAGCTTCTGTATCTGTATACCCGGTATAACGGCCGTTCAGCGCAACACACCAGCTTCTGTATCTTTATGGCCTGTATAACCACCCCTCGGTGTAACACACCAGCTTCTGTATCTGTATACCCGGTATAACGGTCGTTCAGCGCAACACACCAGCTTTTGTATCTGTATGGCCGGTATAACAGCCCTTCAGAGTAACACACCAGCTTCGGTATCTGTATAGCCGGTATAACGGCCCTTCAGCGTAACACACCAGCTTTTGTATCTAGTGTATAGCCGGTATAACTGCCATTCAGAGTAACACACTGGCTCCGCAGGCACGTGGCACCGCAACAGTCGTTAGTATTGCGAGGAAAAACCCGTCCCACCTGAAACATTTGTTCACCATTGCGCGTCCAACCCCAGGTGTTGCTATCTCATGAGGACACCCCTCCTGTACTCGGTACCTGCATCGGCTGTTGTGAAGATGAACGTAAACTTGACCGTCCCTGTCGTTCTGTTTCTCCTGCTCTGCCTGAACATCTTCCTTCCGGCAAAGAGCGGTGAGTAAAAATGACTGGTGATGATGGTCTTTTGTGCAAATTTATGCCCGATGTTTAGAAGATAGAAATGATTCTAACATTCAAGATATTCATTAAACTTTCGCAGTGGACAACTTTTGCCGTCACTGAATTGCAGTCAATTTACAGGGTTTTTTTTTCAAACTGACATATCATATTGCACAAATAAATGTAAGGTTAATTAAGAGTAGCAGTATACGTCTGATCTCATCTAAGATACTATATCCATTATAGTAAAAGAAAGAAAAAGGTTATTCAAAGAAGTCACCAATATTTCCCCAAGTTTTTCATATCTCAACCAACAACAAAAGACTATATTATAGCTAAAGTCCCCCAAACAATTTTTTTTTTCAAAGAGTCGGACAATTCATCTCCCACTACCTCCTGATAAGAAGTCAAACCCCCTAATAGCATGACAAGAATATTTTAATAGAATAGAATAGATCAGAATAGCAGTTACCTTGTTCCTATTACCTGTTCACATATTGCATATTTACTTTTTTATCCTGTATGTATACCAACGTTATTAGATTTAAGTAGAGATAGTAGCTAGGTTCGATAAGTATATCGTACACGTAGAAGTTCCTGTTAGCAAATAGTCTTACACATGTATCACCACATTTTTTGTCCATGTCTGTATGCAATTAGCCCTCGGGCAGGAATTTGCAAGAAACAACTTCATTATTGCTTTGGGGTTTGCCTTTTTCTAGCCAGTCGAAATGATATTTTGCATAATATAACTGTATTTTGTGATTGTCCTGACAGCATGTAAACATTCGATCCGTAAACCGCGGGGCCATATATGGAGCATAACGAATGTGACGTTAGACCATTGCGAGTGGGACATCCGGTTTTTTCCATTCAAGATAATCTTGGTGAGTGTTTGATTCAGTCTTTTGAAATACATGGACTAGTACGTATACTGACTTTCTTCTTTTCATCAGTATGTACGATATCCATATTTGCATAATATTTGCGTAATTTGCATAGTTATTGAGGAAATTCTATAAATCAGATACATTCCATGATAGGGCTATTTAAGCTTGTGATATGTAGTTAAGAACGAGAGTATCACAGGCAGATATCGATTATGCAAATGGTACTTAATTTGCATAATTAATGAGAAAATGTTTCCATAATTCCATAATGTTAACTGCCTGGGATATTTCATACTCGGGGTATTTGAAAGTTAAGTGAATGTGAACATAATTAAACATAACTTATTCAAAAAGGACCTCATTCGCATAATGTATGAGGAAATGCTGTAATGGCATTCTTTGCTAAGATAAGACTGTATTTTGGTGTAGAATATGGTCAGCAGATATATTTCATGCAATTGAGGATGCGTATTTGCATAATCAGGGGGATTAAATATACTTTCTTAGTCATAAAGGCGAACAGCATTTGGCGAAGGTATGAGATCGTTAGTACGTTTCTTCCATAGATGTCCACCTTTATCGAACTGTAATGGTCTATTCCAGATTAATTTTGACTCCTCCGGTTACCGGCGAGGTTCGGAAAACTGCACCGCCGACCTTCTGACGTTTCACGACGGAAACTCTCCAACTAGCAGAACTATCGACACGTTCTGTGGAGACCAGACTCGTGAGTTTAATGATGTTTGGGTAGAAGTAATAACCCCCAATCCCAATTATTTTCAAGAAAGTGTTGCGTTACTATATCGATATTTCCACGGCAGATGCTCTGCTGAACTTCACTCCCTCGTACCCCCACTCAGAACATTCTCTGCAAGAACACGCTTAGCCACCTTAACAGCAGAAAATCACCCTTTCTTCCTCAATAGTCCATCAGTCAAGAGAAAATTTCATGCTGACAGTTTCTTCCCCAGAACCACTTCACTGTGGAACAAGCTTCCCCGTGAATGTTTCACCGCTAATTACAACCTCCAACGGTTTAAATCAAGGGTGAACAAATATCTGGCCACGCAGTCATCACTGTAACCCAAAACATGTAAGTGGCTCTCACGAGCCTTGTTTTGAGGTGAATCTGAAGTAAATAAAAAAAAAATACAGAAGTCAACACATTGTACGCAGTGTTGTATTATAATTGCTATGTTGCATCATCATCATCATCTACTGTGTTCTGTGTCTACAGTCGTGTGGAAATGCTGCATGTACAAAATTTAATCATCATTGCTTCAACTGTCATGGCACAGAGGCCAAAATATACATTTTTAGTCAAGAAGAGCATAATACGCCAGAAAATTCCTCTAGTCAGAATTGAAATGCGTCCAAATCCAGTTTTGCCCAGGATACATTTGTTAGGTATGATAACAGGACACAAATCCTACCCCTAGCACACTCAACTACATGTGAGCCAAATATATCTAGTACTTTTGGTACTTCACAGTTTGAGGTGAAATATGGACAGTTTAAATGCCGATTCTAACATTGCAGCATCGACTGACATCGACGACACCGGGCGTTTGTTAGACCTGTCCACAGCGAGTACCGGCCATCAGATGTACGTCGTCTACAACCGCAACCTTCTGTCTCAGCGCAGATCCGAGTTTAACCTTACATTCACTACAAGGGACAATAGTGAGTACAAATCATCTTCATTATCATCAAGGAATAATTCAAAACCGTTCTCTTAGTGAAAACATTGACTGACTGAATGGACTGAATGTGGACGAGCCAGTACTTCAACTTGATGATGCAATACAGCTTTAAAGGAGTACTAACCTCCAGAAGGAGGTGCTATATTTCGACAGGCATTAATTTTAGGAAGTGAAAAATGCATATTACTTTACAGTATACAATTAAATGCAAATTTTGTTTGTCTTTAAACGTATTGAATCCAGGACAAACTCTCCAAATACCCTCAAAACTATCCCAGAATACACCACGCTACCCCATTGGTGTCAATGTTTTAAAGAAAAAGTTGCGTTACAGACCTCATTTCGGGGGCGATAAGAAAAATTCGTACCGTTTTGCAATTGCCCTTCTTGATGTCCTTATCGCCCCTCATTTATGCCGAAAATATTGACGATGAAAAAAACGGCGTAATCTAGTTATCTTTTCCATAAGTGGCGTAATCTAATTATCTGTTCAACTAATACTTACATGCAAATAAGTTAAGAAAATCAAAACACGCAGGATGAAACTAGCGCCCACTGCATTAGACATCATAATATCATAGTATCCAAGCCACAGGTCAATCAAAGTAAAGCAAGTAATTTCTCAAGAATCAGCATGTCTCCTACCATTTTCGCCGAAAAATTTTTATGTTGATTTGAAGTGTATGAGTATTGCGTAAGCCAGAGTTCCCAGATGTATCGATTGTGGTTCAGCATGGGGGAAAATTATATTGATATCGCTTTACAAACATGCGCCGTGCAAGTCGTACAAGCGAAATTATGTAAAAAGTCGGCTAGTTATATATTCATTGCAGCATGATGAATAGGAAAATAGCACTCCCTTCTGGAGGTTAGTACTCCTTTAATGACTCGGCGTCCAACGCCACCATTCAGGGCCTGATTATATTGGGGCCTACTTGAATATTCACACCGTATCTGTATGCTAGAAAAGAAAAGAAAAGGAAAGAAATAAAAACTGTAGTCTAGGAATTCCAGCAAATGTTGAATCTTAACTAATGTCCGTCTCTGTCCTTTCTCTACAGACTATGTCCCAGAGTTCAATGAGGAAACTTTCGTCCCACAAACGGCACCAATTTTTAACAACATCACAGCTAAGGTAACGAAACATTCATTATAACAGGGAAATAGACTTGTTATAAGACTACAGCAAGGACATGTTTATTTTAAATTTATTTTCCACTTGTCAACTGGGCTTATAGACCACGTTTGCATTCATTGGTCCCCTTTTGTTGTTGCTTTTCTTATTTTGTAGTTTTTAGCATAGTATACCCAAGACTTTCTGCTGGGAAGCGTTGTTGAAGATTATTCGGGCTAGTCGAAATTTCTTTTGCAATCTTCTCGTGTTAGAAAACCATCCCACTCTTTGATTACCTACGGCGTGCTTTTTACTTCACTTTTCAGGACTTTGTGCAAGTTACTATTGAACTCGGACCAAATACTCCGTTTTTCTTCCCATACGGCTACAAAACCAACACTAGGACCGGTGGTAAGTGTTTGTGCACGTGTTTGTTTATGTATGTGTGCGTGTGTTTGTGCACATGTGCGTGTGTGCACACGTGTGTGTGCGTGCATGTATGTGTGTGTGTGTGTGTGTGTGTGTGTGTGTGCGTGTGTGTGCACGTGTGTGTGTGTGTGTGTTTGTGCATATGAGTGTGTTTGTATCCCAACCGGAACCAGCATGTGTCTCACGATTTTGTGCCACTGGATGCCCAAATGTGTGGGTCTTAGGTTCGCAACCAGTTACTATCTTTTACCTTAAACAAATCCACGTGAAGGCCACCGTGTCAACCCTCCTCACTCAGGTGTAGGGACTGACACGGTCATCATACTCGGCAAGTTGTATCTGTACATGAATATATTGAAAATATATTGAGAATATGTCGAATGATCGCCATAGCTGTTTGTGTTTTGGCGTCTATATGTCTGTGTTGTCACTGATGTTATTTCCATTTATGTGACCCGGTGTGTGACAAATCACTTTGTGTGACGGGTGAGGTCTGCCATGCCGAAGTCGTTATGTTGTCCATGTCTCATCATGCAGATGTCCTGCAGCTGTACGTCAGCATCCAAGACTATGTCTTTACGTCTTCTGACCTGGCCTCAGACTTGGGCTATACCTGTACCTACACGTCCGACGGCTCAACTGTGTCTGCTCTGCTGACCGTACCGACGGACAGGTCAGGCCCTCATTTAATCCTTCGTGTGTATGTGTGTGGCTGCGTGTGTGAGTGTGGCTGTGTGTGTGTGTTTGTGTGGCTGTGTGTGTGAATGAATGAATGAATGCATGACACTTTATTTTCGTGTCGTGCGCTTTCCCGCGCCAAGCCCGTGTGGGCTTACACGACACCGTTTGAGTATAAATAATACATAAACAAAAGAGAATCAAAGGTACAGATAACAGAATCCAAACAAATATGAACACAAATAGAAGGTAGTGTGTGTGTGGTTGTTTATGTATGTATGTGTGTGTGTGTGTGTGTGTGTGTGTGTGTGTGTGTGCGTGTATGTGTGCGTGTGTGTGTACATGTGTTTATGTGTGTTGTGTGCATGTGTTTGTGTGTATGTATGTTTGTGCGCTTGTGTGTCTATATGTGGGTGTGTTCGTCCGTTTGCGTGTTTTTTGTCAAACATATCTTGTTTAGAAAGTAATGAAAGTTATACGGGAAATGCTATTCACATATAATGTAATTTTCTGTGTGTACCCGTGCAGCAATTGGTCCCCTGAAGACTGGCCATGGGTCCCGGCTAGACTGCGTGTTGACGCGCCGAGTTTTGGCAGTACTGAAGGAGTCTTTATATACACCATTTCTGGCGTGAAGGTAAGGAAACTGCATTTTCCCTTTTTTCATATCAGAGCCACTTTTGTGCTACAGAGTTTCCATGATAAAAAAATGAAGTGAAATAAAATACCTTTATTGTACATTCATGCCACGACGGGCTAGGTGCAGGTCAAGACTTAATAGACACATAAAAGACATATGTAGAAAAATATAAGACATGAACAGAGTCAACCCCAAACCTTACGGTTAAAAATGTTGTTAATATGTTGGTTGTTAATAGCTGCAGGTTGGCGAGAGCACCACCGTGGAATGCAAAGTAGCCGGTCTTGTGACGTTCAGGACAAACATCCGTGTAACAGGTAAGAGTCTTCCTAGCGACAGACCAATGGACTACATGTGTTTAGTCTCCATCAGACTTTCTGGTAAAATGGGGCAGAAAGACAGAAGGGGTTTGAGATACTGAAAACTTGATATTTGCATATTCAGAGTGTATGGACCTATTTCTGTTGTTTCTCCAGCCTGCCCCATCGGGCGGTTCGGGCGATTCTGTGCGGAGCGCTGCCAGTGTTATAACGGGGCCGCATGTCACAGCTTCAACGGCGCGTGCAGGTGCGCCCCTGGCTGGACAGGAAGAAACTGCACCACAGGTGGGCACTGCGTAGGAAACTTGAAACAAAAACCGCAAACCCGCCTCTATCAGGTTGCCCAATCTAAAGCTGCATTATGCACAAAAATTTGAAATATTCTAATTATACTAAATTTCGGTGTTATTTTGTTGGGCATCAATAACTGTGGCCATTTTCCCTTCAAAAGAGATTTTTAGAAAATCTGGTAAACGATGAGGTCTTTCAGAATTTGTAAGCTGTCAACTGACACACCACTGGGAGGTAGGCCACACCACTGGCAGTGGACAGTACCATATGTGCGGTGTGGTTTGGAGAGAAGATCATTCACAATTTTCTAAGATTACAAGTAGCAAGGATGTTGTATTTTTTGTTGCTCAGTATTATTCTGGAATACTAAAGGGTTAAGTCAACGTACTACGTAAAGAAAAGAATGGAAAATATACTTTTTGTAATGTCAAAAGTTACATACATGTAATGCAGCTTTAAGGACTTTTTATAGTTTTCCGTTCATTCCCCGAGTTTTGTATTAATCTAATTTTAACACTATGAATCTGTTTTATCCTAACTTCATTTTAACTTTTTGTCATTCCCCAGTTCACCCAGAAATGCACATCAGTCCCCCTGCCAGAGAACTGACAGACTTGCGGATCGGACAGGAACTGCAGCTGACGTGCACGGCTTACCAACTTGACGTCACTGACATCACGTGGCTCTTACAGAGTGGCATTCCTGTAGAACAGCTAAATGTATCAAACAGCAAGAAGTGAGGTTTCTCTTTTAAAATTGTCCATATCATAATCATATTACGTAATGTGATAGAAAACTACTAGTATATTCTTCGCGCTGGCTATAACATGTACAGGAACTGGACTCACTATGTTCGCCCCTGTCACTTCAGCCTTTGTCAAGTAGAATGGCACCGTTAATTCATTACTTAAGTCAAGTGTTCGGAACGTCACCTTACATAAGGAATGGGTAAAAAATCGGATTTGTTCCTATTGATGATCAAGGACAGTGCACAGAAAAAAGATCTTTCAACGATATGTTTGCCAGCCACACACATTGCTTTTTTTAAAGATCACAAGCTCAAATCTATCACCCCACCCCCTCCACAGCTCTTCTGTTCTTTACATCCACTCCCTGGCGCCTAAGCACGAAGGTAACGTTACCTGTGTGGGTCTTACCACCAGCGGAGACACATACACTAACGTGGTTGGCATACGGATAGGTATGGACTTTTATTGATACTGGCTTTATGCTTTTATCAACTTAGCGCCACGCTGACAACTCCTTTGAACAAAGAATAAAGAATAAGAATGCAATACCAAGATATTATGTTGACACATTCCAGTGTGTGAGGAGAATTACTGGGGCGAGCTGTGTGACGACATCTGCAACTGTACAGACCAGGAGACCTGCAACCGGGCCCAGGGCTGCATCTGCGATGGTGATGGGTGTTCGGGTGAGTTATTTAGTTCCACTCATTGACGAAAATGAAAAAAATACATTAATACATAGAAGCCTAATCACGTAAATAATACAAATATGATGCCAAATGATTCCTCTTTTGTTAGACCTTCCACCTTTAGATTCTCAGACCGGCCTCCTGACCATCAGTCTGTCGTCAGGCGGGCTGATTCTCCTCCTACTCGGCGTCATCTTCCTGCTATACAGGCACAACAACAGGCTGCGGGTCGGAAACATCGACGATCCGGAGGTCTTCCAGCTCGGAAAGGACCTCAAGGTACGTCATGATTACGTCATTCTCACTATGACGTATGAGATAACACAATTTGATGGTCCGGATATGTTTTGCTAGACCGGAATATCTCTGACTGAACTCCCCCCTTCTCCCCAGGCCGTGATGCCGCCTGCAGCAGGCTCCTCGTCAGGCAGTATCGACATGGAGCTCCTGAAGGAAAGGGAGATCGACAGGAGCAGGCTGCAGGGCGGACAGCTCCTGGGAGAGGGCGCTTTTGGACATGTTGTCAAGGCAACGTTGACGCGACCTGAGGAGGACGATGTGGTGGTAGCTGTCAAGAAACTTAAAGGTTGTTTTATTATTGCAGTTTTACGTCTAACCTAGTGTATTGCAGTGGGCTTACTTTGCCATATCATAAAAAAGACGTGTACATAAATATATGATGTAAACCTGATTATATGTAATGTTTATCTAGACGATGGTGACCCCAAGGCCAGACAGGCCCTTCTGCGGGAAACCTGCATCATGCTGTTGTGCGGTAACCATGACAACGTCCTCGGGCTGAAAGGCATCTGTTTTAGAGACGGTCAGTTCAGAACCTACCTGACTCATGGGTGCTCTTGTTTGGTTGTTTGTGTCTTAGTTTCTTCCAACATTTACACATTTTGTAGAACTCGAAGATGTGTAGATGTACAGCCACACTGAAATATTTCATTCCAGGCCCGCTTCAACTGGTGCTGGAATATGCGGAACACGGGAGTCTCCTTCACCTGCTGTGGACGTTACGTGCGGAATCCAAACTCAACAGGACCGTTCTGGTCAACAAACGACACATCTTCGAGAACATGATGGTGGAGGTCTGCTGCGGACTGGAGCACCTGGCGACCATGAGGGTAAGGAGAAAAAACTGTCCCTCAATCTTTCCCTTCCGATTCCGCGTCCAAGACATGTGATACTATAAGTCATTTTTACCACCATGGAAATCAAGGGATTTCCTTTCTGAGTTTTAGATTGTGTTCAATTCTCTTTTAAGGTAATAAAAACCAAAAGCTAAAGATAAACATATTTGGTAACTGAGCTGCTTATCTTTGCCTGTGTCCAGCTGGTTCACCGAGACATCGCGGCCCGGAACATCCTGATCTGTGGGAAGGGAACCGCCAAGATCGCGGACTTCGGGCTGGCCCGGGACACGTACACTGTGGGGTACCATCGGCAGGACAGGGTAGGTCCCGGGACATGTACGCTGTGGGGAGGGTAGGTCGGACTAACAGCACGACCTTACATATAGAGAGCTGGCACAGTATAATTTGAGTACGAAAACGTAAAATAAGTTTGAAATAGGAGAAGCGGAATCTAGTCATCTACAGATCCTGTAGTCTTATAACAGTCGGCTTTAGATTGAATTTCAAGCAGCTATACTTTCTTGTTTCTCCAGGGCCACGACCTGCTGCCGCTGAAGTGGATGGCACCGGAGGGCCTGAAGAACGAGGCTAGGTTCACACACAAGAGTGACGTGTGAGTTTTTAACATTGCCTTCAGACAATAACATCTTAGTGGAAAGAAACATACAAAATCTTCTTGATATAATTATCACCATACTATCAACTGCTTCCCATCTTTAACATTATGAAATATGTATATTATTTTCCAGCTGGTCCTTCGGGGTTCTATTGTGGGAAGTGGCGCAGCTGGGCCGCACGCCGTACCCTGGGATGGAGGGGGCAGACAGAATATATGATGCTCTGCAAAACCACTTCAGACTCCCCAGGCCTCAGTTGTGTACAGAGGAAAGGTAAGCTTGGTATTTTTCTTGAAGGAACTTAAGTTACTTAAAAGAGTGAAAGATTATTTGCGCTGGTATAAAAAATAGAGGAAAATTTTGTCAACGTTAAGTGCTACAGAAGTCGGCGGTATTAACACCCAGGTACCTTTGACCCACTCCTGACGTCACTTGGACGTCACTAGCCTCACATCCCAACATTGCTGCTGAGTTTGTGTCGTTGCCTTTGCAGACTAAAGAGACTCAGCAGCTTGGTTTTGATATTAGGCAACCATTTTTACCATGTTTCATCTTTCAAGTGTCAAACGTGAATGGGTCATTAGAATAACCGAGAAATAGCAGGGGATTTGTGAAATAGCAATTCAGAAAAGTCACAATGCTTATTTTACTTCTGTGCACTTTTCCCGCCCAGATACCAGCTGATGCTGAAGTGCTGGAAGTTTAACGAGAAGACCAGGCCGGACGCCACAACTGTCAGGAAACTACTGGTGGCGGATCCAAACGTGAGATATTTGTTTCTTAACTTGTTAACATTTTAGCAAATCATTATGCGAGACTTCGGTGAGCCTTTAGATGGGAATGGATCTTCTACCTATCTAATTTTAACAGAATAGCTATTGTTTTTGATGGACATAATTTTTTTTTTACTTTTTGCATTTCTATCAAATTTGGACCGTCATAATTTATTAGGAAGGATACATTTATATTCGTCACGGCAGGAAAAAAAACGTGTGCAGAAAGAAACTGTCATATTTGAGTTTTTCAAATCTCTCTATATAGGACTGTGCTTTACTTTTCTGAATTGAATGTAGGCCATATTGATTTAATTATATGGATGACAACCTCTGGGAACCCCAAAACCGATGCGGGCGTGCGAACAAAAAAGTTTGGCAAAAAAGTTGCTTTCAACATGAAATGTACGTGGTCATGAAGGTTGAACAAATGATACAGAGTATGGCATGACGAATAATCTACTCTTCAAATTCATTTCTTTACATTTTCGTCTTTTTCGTATGGCATTCTACGACATTGGCATCGTTTTCCGATATTTTTTTTTTCAACTTACGGTATACATTTTCTTATTTCGCAACTATTTTATACGATTTACAGTATTTTTTTTAAACGGCCGAAAATTTATGCGCGCGCGGATGTCATCCATATAATCAAATCATTATGGCCTTACCGTGATATTGTTTTTCTTCAGGGCTTTTTCTACTTCAACACACCTGTGGCAGCGATAGAGGCACCCGTCACTCCGGTATGAGACCTGTGGCAGCGATAGAGGCACCAGTATCTCCGGTATGAGACCGCATCGGATTCACAAACAAGCCCGAGGCTATAGTGGCATCAGCCGGGATACATCCTGGAAAATGCCTGGACGATTGACTATAATATATAGTTACAATATATACATATACAGTCACAAGTACTCCTCTGGCAACCGGACGCAAAAAAAGGCGGGATCGACCAAACCTGACACTCAAGAAAGTTTGGTTTGGTTTATTGCGATCTTTATTAGTGAATACATCCACCAATCTTCATCAATCAATCAATCATCAATATAACATCGGAATATCATGTGAATAAAGTGCTAGAAGAGGAAGTTGGTCTGAGGGACGGTAACCTGCTGGCCGCCATGCGCGGCCGAAGTGTGTGTATTGGCATACTGATTGGCACCTTGATTGATGATGAACTGAACTAAAGTTACAAAATTTTAATTTCCTGTTTTAACGTAAATAACTACAGCTTTCTTAAGTAGCTGACTCCTGTATGTGTTTTCTACCATGACTTCTGGATTACAGGAGTTTCACAATCCGTTCAGCTATAGTTTGCAACATCAACCTGCTTTGTAGTCTTACCATTAGAGTACATTATGTGCATGTATATACTAGTAAACAAATCGACCAACATCTAGACTAATGTGCCTCTGTATGTAGCTGAAATCCTTGTTTGATATTAAACTCTGCAAGACTGTTGACATTTAAATACCTTCCTTTATTTATGCAAGAATGTCTTGTGTATTTTGGTTGCAGAAGAAACTTCTTGTGCACTGTTTACAGTGAAAATTCTAACTCCGTCTGCCCTTGCTCCTTTTTTTTTCTGAAAATATGTGTTCTACAAGTTCGTCAGGAAGTCAGGTACATTGGCTTCTTACTTCTTCTCAGATATCTGCTAACATAATCGGAAGTTAATCAATACACGCGTTTCCACGACTTAAATGGGGATATAAGTTACCGCATGTGCACTGGGAAAAACCACAAAGCATCGCGGGATTTCACGCGAAATACCACGAGAGGTGCGTTGCGACAGCAATGGTGGCCAATTTGCACACTTCGAAAATGAAGTTGTATATGTGTTTTAATTTCCTCATACTCCTCTTTTTCTTTTGTTTTGCATAACAACAGACCTGTAAACTTTGCTTTCATCGGGATATTTAGCACATTACTAAATTAATTTGAACGCTACGAAATGGCGACATCGGACGATACGTAACGTGTTTAAAGAAGTACCTGTATACGCGAGACGCCTGTGAGGCTGTGTGTGGGTGTCTTGCAAAACAGGATCTCACGTTCTCCCTAGAGTTTTCCCGGACACGACGTCATTTGAATTCGTTGACTTAATTCCAGTTCTTTGTTTTTTTGGCTGGTCGGTTGTCGCAACCTTTTATTTATCGTCAAATTTAAGGATTTCTTGGAGTGGACAGAGTGGGTATGTTTCGTCACGCTTCAACCTACTTTTTATCAAGTCATATTGAGAATTTACGCAAGCTTTGCAGACTGTGTGGTTCCAGACTCGAGATCCAAACATCGTCGGAGCAACAACGAAATATCAGTATTTTGTGTTGTCAAGACTTTCAGCAAGAAATCAAGAAGACTTGGGGTGTGGACGTATCTGTAGACAAAAGCTTTGCGAAAGGTGCAGAAAAAAGAGTTCCAATCCAAAATACCACCACGGCAATGCAAAAAGGCAATTGTGGCCAAATCACTCTGTTTCGTCTGACTGTTCAGTATGTGTTAAGGGGGCACACCCCAGTTTCTCTCTCTCATTGGAACCTATAGTTAAGAGGCACACACTTCAGCTAAAACGAAAAATGTACAGGAATCTAGAGACATATAAATACCAGCTTTAATGGACTTGATCAACACCTTCATAACTACACATACACAACACCATCCAACATGTACACCAATAGTAACGATGCCACACAAACTCAAAATTAAGTTCGGAACCGGATATAAGGAAGCGCTCAGGTGTGAGGCTTGTGGGTTCAGCACGGAACGAGTCAAACTCTATAAAGGAGCAGATAGGAAGGGAGGGAGAAGCAGGGGTCCGAAACAACAACAACAAAAAAAAAGCAGTTCAGATGGCGTTAGCGCTGACAAAAGTTCCTGTGGGCATAACCGGGGTAACAACACTACTGGGCGCAACAAAGACACCAACCACCACGAAACTGCAAAAAAAAACCCACCAACAATCTGTCAGACTTGATGATCACGGAAATGAAAAATCCATTATCAGAAAACAGAGGAAAGTTGAGGAAGGTATTAGCTGCGAGGGGCGAAAGGGTAGAGGATGGCGAGCCGGTGTTCACGACGGCCGCCATGGACGGAACATATAACAATCCATCATACCACGCATACACACAAAACGCCACACAAGTAACAGTTCCAGTTATAGAGACATACACCGGACAGAACATGCTTATTGACTTCCAATACGCCAACAAACTATGTAGCTGCAAGAAAGAAGAGGTGGACAGGGGGAACCATGGCCCGTTGGGAATGCGGAGGAGAAGTTAGCCAGACGGGCCGTGGTCGGCATGCAGGGTGATCCGCAAAATCCAGTGTGCCCCGAAAAGGTGTTAGCAGACAACGACTCATGTGTAAGGGGGGGGGGGGGTTGAAACGCAACAAGGGAAATTTCAAAGGACATAACTGTTGACAAACTAGACTGTGAAACTCATGTTTCACGAGGACAAAGAAGAAAGATGTTCAAAATAAAGTTAAGCGACCAGATAGTAGCAGGAAATAGTACGCAAGAGAAAAAGGTGGCACAAACCACAAGGTGTCGGTTCACCTCGTGCATCGCTAGAGCTATATCAAAGCGATGTAGGTAGGAGATGCACCGTGCACGTCAAGTCTTTCCAAAAGACGATTTTTTTTCAACGTCATCGTGTTTAGGGTACCTGATTTCCTAGGAAAAACACAATTTTAGTGGTTCAAATATTATTTTTTACTCCAGCACAGTTCGTTTTAATTGGGGCACACCCCAGTTTCTCGCTCCCGTTGGAACCTATAGTTAAGAGGCCTTTTCACGGACGCCGCACGGCATGAAGGAAAATTTAGCCGAGAACGCAACCTATATAGAAAGAAAACGCATACTGTACTGCCAAATATATCTCATTCTAAAAGAAATCCTAACACTAGGAAAAGCACAATAACGGTTATCCTGACGCATGTCGACAGCCCCTGGTAGTGACGTCATCAGCCAGGCCGCCTAGGACGCTTCACCGTTCACGGCCTCGGAGCGATACCCGGAAGCGAAGATTCGCCGACCAAAACTAACCCAAAAGAAGCTATTAGGGTCGCACTTCATGGCAACGTTGAGCTGATTACACCACAACCCCCATACACTAATTAGCTTGGCACAGAAAAACCACTAAAAAACCCTTACTCCAAAATAAACAGGGACTACCGCGGACCCCCTGTCGGGGAAGAATTGGGTTGTGCACCGTTAATGCAGCAGCTATTTCCAAAGGGGGTAGACCAGGGAAATCATTTGGTGGAGGTCAGCCAAGGAAAGCAAAAGTGACAGAGGCATCTAAACTAAATACACCTACAGCAATTCTGTCAGATACACACAGTTTGATAGAGATAAGTTTCAGACTCTGCTAGAACCATTAGATGACTGTCCATTTTGTGGAGGGAGTTTCTCCGGGTCCCAAAGAATTTATCAGAATTTTACGGAATTCATAAGATCCTTACTAGGAAACATAGTTACGAAGTTATTACGGAATACATGCGATCCATTACTAGAAACATACGAATTTTACGGAATACATATGATCCATTTCGTGAAAACATACAGGAACATGCATAACATAACTGTCTAATATTTATGTCCTAAGTGTTGTAAATGACTATAGAATATATGTTGAGTACTACTTCTAGTCTACATCTACTGTTGATTCAAGTTTCTTATCTGACATGTCTTAAAATATGTTTTACTTGGTAATAACAAGGCCATTGGTTTTATAATCAAACAGTCTTACAATATCTATCAACATTCTCACGTCCCCAGCCAATCACACTCTGTACGATTACCAAGGCACGAAAGGCAACAGGGGAAGTGACCTCCAAAACAGGAAGGTGGCGGTCAGAGGAACTTTTGATATTGTATTTTCTATGTATATGTAGTGTTTGTATTGAAGTGTCATTTGATAATATTCTCAAGATTTTAAATTAAAAAAAAAATTCTACAATTCAGCCATTTAGGCTGCCACCGACTTTTAAACCTGTATGTCTCTGTATTTGTTTATGTGAATAATAAACCAGTCATCATCATCATCATTCAAGCTGCCCGAACCATCACGAGTGGGGGTAAAAGACAGTCCCAGTCTTCAGGTGTCTTTGTCACATAGCAAAATTGTCTTGATATTCCTGTCCAGAAGGAAGTAACTGTAAAAGAAGTTCCCGTGGTTCTAGATGTAAGGGATATTGTACTCAAAATGGCTAGTGATGATAAGTGTGAAGATCGTTTCATTGCAAATCTCAAAACCTCAAAGAAGGCTTTGCATGCTTTTGAGGTCCACACTAGGGACCAAGCTCCATGCAAGATGGTAGAGTTGGACGACTTACAGCATCTAACATGTATTCTGTTATGACGAAAGTGGATGATGAAGGGGAGATAAGTAGAAAGACTAACAGTATTGTGGCTACCATTCTAGGATATTATGATGAGGTTTAGACTCCTGCATCGCATCATAAAATCCCACTACAAGTGTAAGTCAAACATGGTGAGATTTCATCCGTTGTGTTGTGACGATGGTTATGTAGATTCATTAGAAATCAAGTTAGCACAGCTGTAACAGGAGAACAAGGAGTTGCATGAAACCATGAGTCAATTTCTTGAGTCTCCAGAAGTAAAAACCTTCGAAAACGGCAAGTTCAAGGATGAAGTACGCCAAGTCTACATGATGTTGTTGAGCATGAATACAGGCCTCAACAATGTAGAGCCTTTAATAAGAACAGTATTACAGAAGTTAGCCGGGTTGCAACAGCTAGTGATGTTCGCAGAGGCAAGACGCCTTAGTCAGCTGCATGTTGCAGAAGTAGTCACTAGATGCGAAAACATCACTGTAGGTACTGATGGGACAACAAAAAACATGACAAATATGACTCTATCAGCGTCTTCACTCAGGAAGGACAGCTTGTAGCAGGCATTAGAGATCAACTGTCAGGCAATACTGACCAACAAGTAGAGATGTTCAAGAAGGTCATCCATGACCTGGCATCTACTACTGTAACAGCTGCTATATACTTGTTAA